CCGGGAGCGGGTTGGTCCCGCGGGACGCCCGGCTCTACGGGCACCTCCGGGATGTGGGCGCCGCGGGGCGGGTGCCGGGAGGTCCGGCCGCAGGGAAGGAGGATTCAGGGAGAAGGACTCAGCCAGCCCTCGCACAGCTGACGACACGCGCTTGTGCGAAACACTGAGGAACGAGCGCTTTGGATTAACTGTTTAATACACTTGTGCACATGTGCGTATAGCAAAGAGGCAACTGTGAATCGTAAGGCTATCGAGACAGCGGCAGGGCGGGCATGGGCAGAGGCCCCGGCGGAGCCCGCCAGGCACCCACCGTTTCTCTGCTGCTTTTTGTTCCCTTTCCATACACAGAACCCGGACAACAGAGACAGTCTCTTCTCCCCTCTTCGCTCAGCTCACACACGGGAGAGAGCTGCCGGTCAGGACGTAAAAAGAGAAACGAGAGCAAGTCCAGGAGCTCCCTCGTGCCAGGGGCCGGATCCAGAGGGCGAAGGGAGAAGCCGGGAGCGGGAAGCGTCGGCTCCCTCCCGCTCAGTCCTTTTGCTTTAGCTCTCCTGGAGAGCACGGAGCTGACGGCGGAGGAGGTGACACGTCCAGCTGTCCCAGTGCCACCGGCTGCAGGGGGGCCGGGCACTTCCACACCCGCGTTCCTGAGCTGTGCTCGGTTTTAGGGGAGTCACAGCCTGCCAATGACAAGGGCTTTTAGTGAAAGGGACCATCAGCTGAGGCTCCATATATTAGTTTTTCACACACGTGCAGGGAGGTGGGTCGTTCTAGTTGTCATATATATCCATATATAAAGTGTATGCTGCCCTGCACGTATTTTATATATCATATATATATAATTTTAAAAACCCTCCAAGAACCTAAGCTAGGAAGTCTCACAGCCCCCAGCGGGCCGTCCCCTCCCGCGTGTCCGAGGGCCAGCGGGCCGAGCCCGGCCCCGTTGGCGCTTGCCTCCCTTGCCCTACCTCTGGCTACCGGGTCAGTCCGCGCCCTGGGCGCGCTCCTCGGGGCCCCTCTGCCCCAGGGCTCCTGGGCTCAGTTCTCCCGGGCTCTCCGTGGGCTCCGTGCTCCGCGCCGGCTTTCCCGAGTGCGGGCAGTCATGCGCCGGGCGCTGCTCCGCCGCCGCCTCCGAGCTGTCCCGGGATGGGTCCTTGGAGGCTTCCGAGAGCTCCGCGTCCGCCCGCGGCGCGTGGGCGCACAGGTCCTGCACCTTCTTGTTGAGGTCGTTGCGCTCGCTCTGGAGGGCTCGGCACAGCTTCTCCAGGCGCTGGATTTTCACCTGAAGTCCCTCTAATTCCTTATCCCGAAGGGTTTTCTGCAAAAGGAAAAGCAGCTCAGGCTTTACCCGCTCTGGGGAGGGGGCAGAAAGGGAGAAGACACCTCGATGAGAACTCAGGGGGATATTTATGGAGGCCAAGTGCAGCTAAGATGGTCTCAGACTTCTCCCAGGCACCTCAACATTCACTGACTCTCACCACACACGGTAGTGATAGGTTTATGGTTAGATTTGATGATCTTGAAGGTCTTTTCCAACCAGGATTCATCAGAGAAGGAAACTGAGCCAAAGGGAGCAGCTGCCTGAGTCAGCACAGAGGGAAAACCAGGAAAACTCCTCACCTCTTCAGCCATCTCCAAGAGAGCCTTGTTGCTGCTCTCCCAACGAGAGCGGTACATGGTGGTCTCTTTCTCCAACTTCTTGATTTTCTTAGTCATCTACAGGATCACAGAGACAAAAGTAAGAAATAAGACACGGGGGCAGAGTGCTGCAGTTGGTTACATGTAGGATACTCTCCTACAGGCACCCGCTTTCCCAGCACAGCCATGAGATGCTGCTGTCCCGGGAATCAGTCTCCTCATCCTGCTGGAATTGGTCTCCCCGGCAGGAATCACCAACCAGGCAACAGATGCAGGAGCCGGAGGGAGCCCTGGGGGCTCAGAAGGGGACAGAGCAGTCACCCCTCAAGGGTGGCACGAGCAGTCAGCTCGTGGCCCATCCTGACACCAGTAAAACTGAACCCGAGGAGCTGCTGCTCCCGGCCAGGCGGTCCCTGCACCCTGGGGGGCTCCCACAGCCACCCACCTTCTCCATCTCCTGTTTGAACGTCGTGAACACTTCGCTGCTCTTGGAAAGGGTGTTCTGGAACTCTTCAAACTTCTCCGTGTAGAGCGCCAGCTGCGGGGAGAGGAAGGGTGACAGTGTTCACTGCTCCCCGAGTCCTTCTCCAAGGGCGACGTTCCAGCCGCGGCGCCGTCGTGGGGCTGGACTTCCCGGCTAACAAACCCCCCTTGCAGGGCAGCAAAGGGAACAGCCCTGTCCCGTTCTCCCAGGGCCCCCCTTGGGGTGATTCCACAAGGGAGATCCGTGTGGAAGCGCTGGTGCCCGGAAAACCAAGGCCACCTTCCCCAGGGAGGTGGAAGAGCTGAAGGAAACCCCAGCTCACACTGCGCTCCCGGTGCTGACACGGGCTCACCAGTGCCACGTTCAGGGACAATCCTCCTGTGTTTTCCAGCTTAAGGAGCTTAAGTGGCTCATCCCTGCTAAGGGAGGAAGACAAGCAGAGCGGGTCAAGCACACGGGGCAGGGAGCTCACCTGCTGCTTGAGGTGGGTCTCCTGCTGCTTCATCAGCTCACACATCCTCTGCGACTCCACGGCTTCCTTCAGCAGCTAGGGAGGAGGAAATGCAGTTATCTGCTGCCACCAGGGAAGGCCCCAGCATGGCCCTGTCCAGCTGGCACTTGGCCTGGAGGCAGCAGAGGCCTGGCAGAACCACGAGGAGCAGAGCAGGGCTGCAGCCTCCCTCCTGAGGCCCCTGGGGGGAATGGGCATGGCTGGGTACACACAGCCCTGATCCAGCTTGGGCTCTGCCCTCAGAAAACCAACGGTACCAAAATTTCCAAGAGAGATGAGGCAAAGAACTTGCTGCCATCAAAGAAAGTCACAGTAAGACTTACAAAGTCCTTCTCCCGCTGGTGCCTCTCTTCTGCCTCCTTCAGCATTTCCTGGGCTTGCTGGAGCTTGGCGTCCACCAGCTGCTGCTGCAGGTCCTTGTGTTTGAACACCTTGTCGATGTGCTGCCAAGGGGAACCACACTGCTCAGCCGGGCCCCCTTGCCCACGTGGCGAGGGCAGCAATCCCAAGGGAACATCCCAGGGGCCTGGAGGTCCCCTCTGGAGCCAGCAGCAGCTGTCACCACCCCGGGGACACCCGCAGCTGGGCAGGATGGAGGCAGCAGAGCAGCCCGACGCGGGGCTCCTGCCCCGACCCACCTCCTCACGCAGCTCGTACTGCTCAATGAGCTTCTTGAGCCGCTCCGCCAGCTCCATGTTCTCCTGGCGCAGCTTGGAGTTCCTCTCGTTGTGCTGCTCCATCTGGAGCTGGATGTCATTGAGGGTCACCTGGAAGTGGGATGTCACCTCCTTCCGCTTCTCCTCTTCCTCCCGCGCGCGCTGGACACCTTCTTCCTGCACGAGGAGGGCAGAGCAGGACCGTGAGCCCCTGAACGGGCCGGTGGGCAACCTGCCCAAACGGCCACGAAGCCACCCAGCCTCCCACGACTGCCTGTCCTGACTGCGAAGGCACCTGGAGCCACTGCCGGACGGGCCCTGCCTCAGCCTGCTCCAGGCCTTTGCCCTCCATTTCTCTGGGAAACAGGCCCTGAAATAATAATAATGCCCAGGGACACTGGGTCGAAGTGACGTTCTGCCCTCCTAGGTGCCTGTGCGAATTGTTCTGGAGGGCAGAGGGGACTGCAGGGCCGTGGGGGACGTGAGGACGTGCAGGCGTTTGCTGGCCCCGAGCGCCACCAGCGCCACAGGTCACCATCACCAAGAGCCACACCGGGTCCTGGACACGGCCCCAGCCGCCTTCCCGGGGACATTTGGCATCCTGCTCTTCTCCAGACAAGACCCCTCCGAGCGCTCGGGATCCACCAGCCCCGGGAGCAGCGGGAAACCCCAGGGACCTGCCTTGAGGGTGCGGTTGTGTCTCTGGAGCTCCCGGCACAGGCTCTCCAGCTTGCTGCGCGCCAGGATGGCCTTGCTGTGCTCGCTCTGCAGGTGGTCCTTCTCCTGCACCAGCTGCGTCTGCTTCTTCTGCAGGATCTTCATCTGTTTCTGGGAGTTCCGGTGCTCTTCCAGCTACGGCAGGGAGGCAAAAGGAACAGATGCAGCAAAGCACGTCAGGGCTGTGTCCCCCCGCAGGGGAGTTGGGCATCAAAGCAGCGGTCTCTGTCTTCTGAGGGGAGGACAAGAGCTTTAAATCACAAAAGAGCAGAGCGGGAATGCCACAGAGTGTCCAGGAGTGCCTCGGACTTGACCTTTCTGCTTCCCAAATCAATCATGCTGCTGGAGTGACTTTGGTGAACGTGTGTTTCTTGCCAAGAAACCATCACCAGAAACACCACGTCTGAGTAACAACGACCAGCAGATCTGCCTACAACACTCCCGGCCTCGCCTGCACCTCCGCAGAGCCCCCGGCTGGACAGACAGCACCAATCCTGGCACGTGGATAGCCAGAATCACAGGGATTCGGGAGCCTGCAGAGCTACACGGGTGTCCCCCCAGCACCACGGCCACCCTCAGCCTCATCAAACAGCCTCAGCCCTCGCTGTTGTGGGGTGTCCTTCCCCGCAGCCTGCAGCAAAGCAAACAGGGCCTCACCAGCTCAGCGTATTTCTTGCACAGCGCCGCCAGCTTCTCCTCTGGCGTGCTCAGGGTGTTCAGCGTCTGCATCAGCAAAGTGATTTCTTTGCCTGGAACGAGACACGGATTTTTTAAAAAATAAATCCCTTTCGCAGCGTTCTGGCTCATAAGGCAAGGACAGGGGAGAGGAACCAGGCGTCTCTGCACAGCCCAGCTCATGGGTACAACCCGCAGCACCATCTCCAGGCTCTGCCCTGGAGATTTTCCTGCAGATGCCAGGGAGGATCAAACCAGGGATGGGGAGGCCTGGCTTGGAGCACAGGCCCCACCACTGGGTGCCCGGGCAGAGCTGTGCCCAGCAGAAGGGAAACGGGCAGCACTCAGAGGCTGCAGCAGCGCTCAGTACGTTTCCCCATGTACCCCAAGAACGAGAGCCAGATCGTTTCCAAACCCTGCCCTACATCATGCACCTAAGGTGCTTATTTCACCGAGGGCAGTGAGCGTGATACAAAGAAAAACCCACGTCTGCGCTGAAGTTCTCAAGCTGGCTCCAGCCCGCAGTGGGGAACCTCTTACCAAGGCCCTTGGCTTTCCTCTTCTCCTGGGCTCTCTTCTGATCCCGCTCCCCGTACTCCTCGGTCCCTTTGGAGCTCTCCTTCTCCCCGTTCATCTCGGGGCCGCCCGCGTCCGGCTCGCCGTTGCGGGGCGACTCGCTGCGACTCTTCTCCGCCTCCTCGGGCTCGGCGGGCTCGCTCTGCCCGCCGTCCTCGCCCGGCCCCTCCTGGCTGCTGTCCACGCAGTACGTGTTCAAGATGTCCTCGAGCTGCCTGCTGAGCTCCTCCGAGACGTCACGCACGGCCGGCCGGGAGGACTTGCCGTCCTCCTGGGGGAGAGGAGCTGTGGGAGACGGGGACACGACACTGTGATCCTTCCCCCGCGCGCTCCGCGCTCCCCTCTCTGCTAGGACCCCCGAAACGCAGGGCACGGGGAAGGGCTCCTCGTCGTCCCCCTGCACCCGGGCAGGCCAAACTTGCAGCAGCATGAGCTGCTTTGTTCTGGCTGCGTCTCCAGCCAGCTGCCCTGACAAAAGAGGTGCATTCCTAGCGGGCTCCCTTTTGATCAGGAGAGCATGACCAAGCCCCTGACATCTGTCAGGAGCAACATTTCACGCCCCCCACCTCCCTTTAAGGCAGGCAGGTTTTGCATGGGCTGCCCTTGCTGATGTCCCTGGAGGGAGGCCTTTGGAGACCACAATAGATTTTTAAACCCCAGTTCGTCTCTCTCGTCGCATACAGAACAGCTGTGCTGGGTCACATCAAAGGTACCTTGTCCCCAAGAGCAAGCAGCAGCGGATGCTCAGGGAAGGAGGAGGCAGCACAGCCCTCAGCGCTCCTCTTAGCCTCAGAAGTTCCCCAAAATGAGACTCCTAAATGACGAAGAGCAGCTGCTTATTCAGCACTAACTCACACACTGGGCACTTGCTACGTCCCACGTTTACTAGGCATCAAAACATAAGGTACAGGGTTGATTTTAACTCAGCGACTGCTTTAGAAGACATGTTTTTCTTCTTCCAGAGAATTATGGTTATGACTGAAAAATGCCAGTGCCAGGGCAGATCACCCCATGCAGCACTGGCCCAAGGAAAGAGATGTGTGACTTTGCCTAGGCAAAAGTAAATAACCCCTTGTGTTCAGGTGAGGATGCAAGTCCGCACGTTGGAAACCTGCTCCCCAGGGAAGCAGTAGCTACCTCAGAATTGCACACACAGTGCTAAGAAATGAGGGTTTTCTGCTCCTGACATCCCAGCTGCTCTTGCACCACAGCCCGTCCTCAAAGGAGGGAGCAGCAGCCCGGCTCTGCGCAGGCTTGCAAGCCGCCTTCCCGTGCCCGAATCCCGGTGCCGGGGCCACGGAGCGGCGCGTGCCGGCGGCTCCCACCTGCGAGCGCTGCCGTGGCCTCGGACGAGTCGCCCTCCTCCAGCCCCGGGCTGCTGCCGCTGCTCATCGGGGCCGAGCCCGCGCCGCGCGGGGCCGCCTTGGGCTCCCCGCCTTGGTTCTTCATCGCGCCGGTTCTTCCCGCTCGCCCGCTTGGAGGGCAAGGCACAAGGAGTCGCTCTGCAGCCTCCTCCGCACCGTTACCCCCAGCCCCGGTTACCTCCAGGCCCGCAGCACTTCTCTGCCGAAGCCCCCTCCCTGCGCGGGACACCTGGGGACCAAAACGGCCGCTTTTTGGGGAGGAACGGCCACAGAAACGCCTCCCTGGCCGCAGGAACGGGTGGGCTAATTAGCATCGCCCACGGGCTGCGGCCAACGGGGCGGGCGC